GCTCGGGTTGGGTTCAAACGAACTGTCAACGCAGTTTGTACAGTTACAGCTCACGCTGACGACGACGACGACGACGACGACGACGACTGTTACTACTCCTGCTGCTGCTGCTGCTCGACTACAACTACGACACTAGCCACGGTCCTCGGGGTGCGACAACGCCTCAAAGGTCTGGCGGAAAATGCTCCACCCCGCCTTGTGGAACCTGGGATCTCAGCAGGTTTAGGGTTTTGGGGTTTAGGGTTGTTTAGGTTTAAACCCATAGTGCAACCATGTAACACCGGCGACTTCGTAAACGGGTTGTGGTGCAAACAAAATGCACCAGAGGGCTCTGTCGTCGCCATTGAGTCCCACACCCACGCCGTCGGCAAATCAGTCGACGTCGACACCAACACATGGTCTTTCATCGACGCCGTGAGGGAGGCCTTGACACCGGCACCATCGTCCATGTCGGCCAGCAACACATGGACATAGTACCGCATCTCCTCCTGATGTAAGGTTAAGGACGATGGTGGTTTGGGTTTTTTAGGGTTTAGGGTTAGCCCCGCCTGCACGGCATTGCGCAAAACACGTCGACGCCGTTCGTCCGGAGTCTCGATCCTGAAAGTAGAAGGACCATCGGCGCCGCCATCGACGTGGGCCTCGCTGTCCGCCTCAGTAGTGTCAGGCTTGGACTCCGACGCCGGTGTTGGCGTCGCACCAGTGGCAGACGACATCGACCACCGGTCCAAGGAGTCTCTCACCTTCTCGCATAGCGGCGCGTAGTCCTGGCCCTTGCCATTCTGGACAGCCTTCGAGAAGACGGAGTCCCAAAGCCCCGAGGTGATGGCACCGACCACCGACGCCATGACCTTGAAGCGCTCCTGCACAGGGCTAAGCACGGCGGTTGGGAAGCCCTTAACNNCCCTAAACCCTAAACCCTGCAGTCTCCTCGGAAAGTCTTCCGACCACCGTGAGGTCTGCAGTGCCCCACGTTGCCAGCTTCAGGCTTTCCTGCATAGCCGCAGCAAATGCGACCTCCGTCTCGTCGTTCAGGTTGATGCCCTTCTGGATGGCGGCCAAAATTTGTTTCAACACCGACAGCCGGAGGAGGATGGTGTTTGCGACCTGCTAGGAGTTTAGGGCTGGGGTGGGTTTAGGGTTTAGGGTTTAGGGTTTAGGGCATGCGTGACCATGCGGAGTCGAAATCCCTGCTGGGATTTCGACTCCGAAGCAACTCCTACATGGGATTCGGACATGGACAGCTTAGTACACGACAACCGACCTCCGCAGCTGTCTCCTTTGTCATCTTTCGCATGTCCTCGAATCTGGACATAAACTTCACGTTTCCGGGCATCGCAAACTCCGGCCGCAGCTCCTGGTGGCAGTAGTAGTAGTAGTAG